TTCCAAGCAAATTGAAATAAATAAGGCTTTCTCTGGATGAAAAATATAATAAGAAATACTGTGTTAAAGTTCCCTTGCTCTGTTAAACATCACTTGGGAAAAATCTGAAAACGAACTGAAATTTCATAGGGGGGGCTAATAATTTTTTCTTCAACTGTACTACTGAATACTGTATATTCTTGTATTTGATTTAAGTGCATTCTGCTGTTTATGCAACATTTTGAGGTTAACATTACTTTTGTGTTGGCAGTAAGCTGATTGACCAGGCATACTCTCCCTTCCATGCGGTGCTGCGCTGTGGGAACCTGACCTCTGATGTGCAGGTCTTTCCCAGGCCAGAGCCAGTGACCATAGATGAGGAAGTGGATCCCATGCCCAGAACAGTGCAAACAGGTATGAGCAAAGAAGCTAATGAAATGATCATGTCCTTAATGTTAATAGATCGTTGGAGACATCTTAAAGTGCTACTTGCTGATTAAGGACCTTGTGAAGTAATCCCAGAAGGTGCTCTTTGGTTGGGTTTAAAGCAACTATTACAAAAAAAGAATCCAAGGCACTTCTTCTGGTCCAAAAGAGTTAAAAAGCCTTTATTCACATTCTGGCCATCTCAATAAACATTAAAAATGCCTAAAACATTTCGGCCTTCCTCAGAGTGTGTCAGGTGTGTCACACATATATAAATAAGGCATTTTATGTGAGCATGTTTACATAATAAATATAAATATAAATTTATATAAAAAGTATTACATTTCAAGCCTTTAATCAGACAATAAATGTAAATAAATAAATGTTTTTATTTGTTGCTAATCATGCTTGATTCTACATAAATAGGAAATTGGAGCCAAGTGCACTTGATAGTTCTTTTACTTTGTTGTGTTTTATATATAGACTTGGAGATTGTGGGTTTTATTGAGATTGGAGATATCTCCAGCCCCCCGGTTTTATCCAGGCACCTGGTCCTTCCCATTGCTGTGAACAAAGGTCAGTATTTTGCTTCATATTTTTTTTCCTACAGTAGGTCATCTTATCCACATCCTTATTTATTTTCTGTTAGTCCTGTTGTAATGACAAAGCTGCTCAACTTGTTTATTTACAAAAAAGTAGTGGCAATATATTAACATGGTGAAATAAAATATTTATAAAAATCATGGAATTCCATAGTTCCAGACGTTTCAGTAACACTTTTTAACCAATTAATGACTTTATAGTTGTTCATGGTTATTTTGATTATTGTTATTATTTTCTCAGCAATTTCTACCTTGTAAAATATTTTATCAAACATATTAATCTAAAATGTTTGTGTGTTCATATATATTTTATATATGTGTGTGTGTGTATGTGTGTGTGTATATATATATATATATATATATATATATGTGTTGTGAAAATGTTGTGTTGAAAAATGAGAATACCCTCCTCAAAGTTACTAAATAAAACAAAGACCGTTTTTGATGAACAGGTAAGTATGCTGAAAGCCTTTAAAGAGAAGTAATGTCTTGACAGTTAAAAGTGTTATATAGCCTTTGAATCATTCTTTGACTTAATGTTGACAACAATGGAACCTCTTGGGAGGGAATTGCCAAGAGACTTATTTAGCACAAAAGAGGACAATGGTACAAAAGGAATACCAAATCATTGTTTTAAGTGTGAAAATATAGCAAAAGTAACACTTCGCTTTAAGCGTTCATTTACTGATGAGTGATTTTTGCTAGAAAAAGAGCAGGAAAAATACCAAGCGTCTCGGAGCCGACAAAAGCTATGGAAAGATATACACACACACACACACTTTAACATTAATATAGTTTGAGCTTATTAACTTGTCACATCGGCTGGGGCTCACAGGCATATTCTTTTGCTTGACAGAGGGGGATGAGATCGGTACGGGGGCCACTGATGACACAGAGGAAGAGACCCCAACAAATCAGATGGCTGGAAAGAGCCCAAACTTCTGTGTTCTTCTACATGGCAGCCTAAAGGTGGAGGGGATGGTGGCACTTGTACAACTAGGGTAAGGATCAATATGAAAATATGCATCTGCCTTTTCATAAGCATTCAAAATGTTGGCATTACATAAAAAAAGTGCTTTTAGTGAATTGCACTGTCAAATGAGAGTTTGTTTTCATCTCCAGCATATTTGAGATGAATAATCTAGTTACTGTGAAATCAAAGTTTTCCCTGTCCATAATGTTTCCTCTGGCAGACCAGACTGGTTCGGGATGCTTTATTCCCAGGCAGACAGTAAGAAGAAGTCCAATCTAATGATGTCACTCTTTGAGCCTGGCTCAGAGCCTCTGCCCTGGTTAGGCAGAATATCACAGCTTGGCCCTGCCTCAGGTAGCAAGTTTTTACTCAGTAATTTTATGTAACAGCCACACTAAAAATGCATAAAAAATAAACGGCGCTGTATTGTTTTATGCATTGTGTTCCAAGTAGTTCATAATTAATACACTGAAACAAAAGTAACCTGGATGGTTCACTGAGTTCAGTTAGGGAACTTGCAGGTAAATACACAAGGGTCAGGGATAACGGTAATACCACACATTTGCATGATTAAATATTTATTTTCTTCTCTCACGCTTTGGTACCTTCTGAGACTGGAGGAACATGCATAATAAAATATTTGCTCATTGTTTGCATAAGGTTTTGCTTACTGGCCAAAGATATACTGTAAATATCAGTTGACTACGATTCTCTGTTTGCATGACCTACAGATGCAGCTGAAAATCCCTATGGCGAAGATGACAGTAAAAGTCCTTTTCCCATACAGCCAAAAAACAAAAGAAGCTATGCTCAGAATGTTACCGTCTGGATTAAAGCCAGTGGACTGCAGGTATACACCTGAATACTACACTACATTTAATATATCTGACATGACACTAATTAAGTCATTTTACTAAACTTTTTTATAATCCAGACAGATGTACAGAAAATTCTCCGTAATGCAAGGAAACTGCCAGAAAAAACACAAACCTTCTATAAGGTGGGTATTTATACATATTAAATTTTTCAATTTCTTTCTATCTATATATATTTAAAATATTTAAAAAATAAAGTTTATGTAGAAAGGATATCATATGCTGATATATGACCCTTTTGATTAGTTAAAATCATTTTTTGTTGTGAAATGTTATTTTCATCACTGTAGGAACTGAACCGTCTGCGGAAGGCCGCTCTCGCCTTTGGTTTCTGGGAGCTTTTAAAGAGTGTGGCTGAACTTCTGGAGAGGGAGTGTACACTGCTGCCTGACTCCGCCCATCCCGATGCTGCCTTCCAGCTCTCTCATGCTGCTCAGCAGCTCAAACTGGCTAGTAGTGGAGACTCCAAGTATGCAGCCTATGAACACAATATCACCCCCATGCTCACTGATTTCTCAGGGGGAGGAGGAGCCGACAGAATATAGAGGACGGAGGTACAATGCTCATTGGACAACTGCCAGATCAGTTATAGAGGAACTCTGCTCAATGCGAAATGTTTGTCCAAGGGAAACAAGTTACTGCAGTAGAATCACACAAATGTGGCATTTTCAATGTTGTAGTAGTAGTGCCACAAAGGTTTGGAAACATGTGACAAATTATGACATTGAACACTCAATTTGAGGAAAGAAAAACATTCATCGGTTTTCCAAGAAAATGCATTTAGACTTTGGAATCTGTTTTCAGACCAGCAACTGTTTGTGTAAATAACTTTTTCTAACAATGACCAATAAAAATTAAACTGCCTGTAGTTTATGCTTAATGATAGTCACCTGAAAATCAATGCTTTATTTCATTGAAATTTAATTAAACATTTCACGGTTTCATTTACACATTCACATCCAGATCCCACGACACTGAATCGGCTCTTCTCATGTGACTTGAATGCTTCATGACGTTTTCCCTGAGGTTCATGGTCTATGTTGTTGTTATCAGTGCTGTGTCAACAGAAATGACTACTACAACACATCTCAGGGAATGACAGGAAAATAAAATGTTGCTTCTGTAAACCTGTCACACAGCTAATCTACAACATCCAACACACAAGCATACTCCATATAGATGGACTGATACAATATAGAAATACCTTCATGGTCCTGGTTTGATAAGATCGATTTCTTTCTAGTATTTTAAATTAATCATCCATATCCTCTACAACTCAGACATGGTCTTTCAGCATGTAGAAAGTAAATGCACTTGAGTTGGTGTTTGAAAGAAGAGATATAGTTTTCCCTCAGTAATGACTTCTCTGCGACAGAGGGCAAATGTAAAGAAAGAAAATGGAGGCGGCAAATTAAATCAAAGAAAACAGAGACACACATGGAGAGCTAAACATGTGGCTTCCCCTTCCCCTCAGTTGGCTTTCCTCTTTTTTGTGCGACACCGTCTACTCCTTTGCTTGAAGAGGTGGCGGAAGTTGATGAAGAGCCCTGAAATTGTCGAAAATATATTTATGTTGCATAGCAGTTATACTCTTTTACAGGGTTCCCACAGACATGGAGAACCTGGAAATATTAGGGAATTTAAAAATATAACAAAAAATATTAACATGTCATGAAACTGTAAGGGCAATTTATACTCGGTTTATGCTCAAAATGTCTATAAATACATTGAACAAACATTGTGGGAACCCTGGATTCATTTTTTTACATGAGTTTTGTGGACCTTACCCAAGAACATGATCACCAGGTAGAGCTGCAGGATGTAGGAAAAGCTGAGAGAGGTGCCAATGGCTTTAGGCAGAGGAATACTGAGGAGTTTGGTTTCATCAAAGATGGGGATGGACTGGATCACCGCCACAGCTGATCATAATATAAGGGAGCATAAGAAAAGCTGTCAGTTACACGTGAACATTATACATTAATGTCTCACCTTCTCATGAACAGCCCATCATGATTTTTAATTCTGGTAGGGCTAATCTACAGATACACATACCTTCAGCTAGAACTCCGAGAGGGTACAGCGGTATCCATATGGTGTATCTCAACCAAGTCAACAACTTCCATTCCGTATCAATGCAGGCCAACATGTAGAAAGGATACCTATGGTTCATTTTCACAAATGCAGGATTAGATCCATTTTTAATTCAACAAAAGGTCCCTTTTAGGACCGAGCTGTAGGGCTCAGATGATTACAACATCAACACTGCTTTTTAAATCAAAATAGAAAAATACACTCTACTGTTTAAAAAGTTTTGAAAGATATTCATGTTCTTTAAAGTCTGTTATACTCACAAAGACTGCATTGATTTGATCAAAAATACAGTAAAACAATATTGTGAAGCAGTATTATAATAAAAAAAAATTATATTTTAATATATTTTAAATGTAATTTATTCCTGTCATTACTCCAGTCCTCACTGTCACATGATCCTTGATTTGATACTCAGGAAACATTTCTGATTATTACCAATGTCGAAAACAGTTGTGCTGCTTAATATTTTTTTGAGAAACCATGATACACTTTGCTTTTTCAGGATTCGTTAATGAATACAAAGTTCAAAAGAACAGCATTTATTTAAAATAGAAATCTTTTGTATGAATCCCTTTACTGCCAATTTTGATTCATTTAATGCTGAATAAAAATTTAAAAAAATCTTAGTGACCCTAAACTTTTGAAGTTTACTGGTGTCTGGTGTCTGGTATGTCTATTTTAATAAAAAATATTTTATAAAATAAAAAAATCTAAACAAATTACAAACATATAACATTCAAAACTATTACAGATATGTTTTCTCATTTATATATTGTCATATGAACTAGTTACATTGCTTTCAGCCCTAGTTTTGAGGGACTGGCTGCCATTTCACTATTTGCACACGGATGTGTGTCTCCTAGTGATAAGGTGTGTGAGCCCACAGGAAGAGAATGATAGCAGAAGAAGTGTGGATAAACTGGCTGTGCAGAAACCACATCACTGATCAAAGAGCAAAGAATATAAAAATGGCCTAAAATCATTAACCTACATATTTATACTAGGGATGTAACGATTACCGGTTTGACGATAAATCATGATAAAATTCCCCACGGTTAGTATTACCGTTTCATCTTTTAATTATCATTAAAACCGTATTAGATTACCACAATTTGAACAACTCGCGATAAATAATTGAACATCTCCGGCACATTTTAACAATACTGTGATAATACTGATAACCGTGATAATTTTGGTCACTATAATCGTGATAAGAAATTTTCATACCGTTACATCCCTAATTTATACATATACCAAGCTCAAAAAGATACACAGGTAAACTTCTTTCAAATGTAGTATGTATTCTGTTGCTGTAATTCCAATTTAGGTTCTAATTTTCAGTATATTTTGGAAAGAGAAAATGCATTTGCTTTAAACTAAGGACTGCATATAGGAAGTTGAAATATTAGCACAAAGAAGAGGATATCCTGTAGATAAAGAATGCGTACTACCCCAACACACAAACTCCTACATTTCCTCACCATCAGCAGAAACTGTGCTCTTAATAAACATGCACATGTAACATACTACTAATTACCTGAATATCTCAATCATACTCCATAGATAGAAGACAAAGAAGACCACTGGCTTGTTCTGCATTTCCTCTAAAGTGCCAAATATGACAAAAAGGATGAAGTTCCTCCCCATCACCTTTAACAAGAGGAATGTAAATATCTCAGTCATAAAATTGATTATTCAAAGCAGTATATAATGAAGTGCATTTAATTGGTTACAAAAGCATGAGGCGCACCAGACATACCTGAATGAAAGCAGGCATGACTCCAGTCTTAACCAACCCAACAGCAGGATTAATAACCTCCATTATTGCCAGCATCTGACAGAAGTACATCACGTCGGCAATAGTATGAAATGTGTCGTAGAAAGAATCTGTTGGGTTGAGAAAAAAACAGTAAAGACCATACTGAACTCCGAGACATAGACAACTATGTTTTCACTGTTTTCACACTTTGGAGAACCACTTTACACCAACCAATTAAAGCGGCTTTTTCACACGACATGTTTCCCACTGCTCATAATTTATCCTAGGTTAACAATTAATCCTGGGTATTGATACGCTGACGTTTCACTGTACATTCCTAGATCCTGGGTTAACATTCTTATTTGCATATTTGTGGTGTCAGTATCATTGATTGGACGAACACAGCACATAACTTGTTCACATAAACTGCAAAAGCTGTGCTAACCATGTTTCTGAGCAGGGGTTTCTTAACCCCCGGGTAAAAACCTCACTTCTAAAATGTATAAATATATATACATATATATATATATATATATATATAAAAATTTGCATAATAGACCTGCAGGCCTTCTCAAAAAAAAAAAAAAAAATTCAAATGAGATGCATTTCCTCACAATAACAACAGCTAAAAAGCAGAAGTGTATCTTTAAGCTGCTTACAAAAAGTTGAAAAACTAGACTAACCTTGCCCAAGAATGAACAGACGTACAGTCATGTTGACAAATATCCAGGAATAACCGAGGAACTGGACCAAGTTGTACATAAAGAGAAAACCTTTTTTCAAGCCAAGAAAAGCTGTAAACACAGTAACATAAAAAGAGTAATGAATACATGGTTATTATTTGGTAAGCTGACCCAATGTGTTTAACTTTCTACTTGAAAAAATTCAATATATACTCACGGTCCTTACGAACCCTTGACTCAATGTTGATTTTGTTTATTTTCTCTTCCTGTGCACAGAAAACAGTTTAACACATCAGACAGTACACTTCTGTGAAGCTCCTCAAGTATAACGAATAATTGGTGTTTTTGGTTATTAGTAAACCTCTTCACCTTCTCTCTGAGCTCCATTTCTGCATCTGACTCATCCAGCCAGCGGTCAAAATCAGGTGCTAAAAACAGAGGCTTCTTCTCTTGTTTAGTGAGTCGATCCCACCAGACGTGCTCCTGCTTCTTTACTGTGATATTCACCTGCCGCTGGGTGGATTTGTGTTTCACCTGTGGACACCAACATTTTCATGTTCCTCCTGTGCAACCAAACACTTTACATCGATGTTTTCAGAAATTTCTCACAACAGTATAAAGGAAGATGGCTGTTACCTCAGGTTTAACAGGTTTTAGGAATTCCAGACTGAATTCATATTCATTTTCTCCTTTCGCTCCATGCCCTTGACCTTGAAAAGAGCAGAATAAACAGAAGTCACACAACCGAAAAGAGCATCCAGCTGATGGTTAGTCGTGAGATGTACCTTTGAAGTGAAGGATGTTCTCTTCTACACCAATACTGAGACTCTGTGTGATAGAGACAAAACGAGTACAAAGAAGTGTGAAGTCAAGTTTCAAGCTCCTCCTCCCACTGCCTGTTTTATCAGTACAATGCCCTCAAATACACCATGCATCAAACAGATATTTATAATACCCAGTTATAAAATAATGAAGCTTCAGTAATGAATGGAATACATAATAAAACAACACATTCAATGAGTCAGGCTTT